GCACCAGTTTTGACACTACCATCAGGTATGGAAAACTTTGTAATTTTCAGTGACGCATCTTACAGAGGCTTGGGTTGTGTATTAATGCAGAACGGAAGGGTGATTGCATACGCCTCTCGGCAATTGAGACCACATGAGAAAAACTACCCAACACATGATTTAGAATTGGCCGCAGTTGTATTTGCTCTAAAAATCTGGCGGCATTATTTGTATGGGGCAAAGTGTGAAGTCTACACGGATCACAAAAGTCTGAAATACTTCTTTACACAGACAGAGTTAAATATGCAACAGAGAAGATGGCTCGAATTGTTAAAAGACTACGGCCTTGAGATTCAGTACCACCCTGGGAAAGCCAATACAGTTGTTGATGCCTTGATCAGAAAATCGATGGGGAATTGGGCTTGCTCGCTTACTGAACAGAAAGAAATCTTGCAAGATTTAGAGAAGTCCGAGATTGAAGTGGTGTTGTGCGAACAGGGCGGATTGATAGCCCCTATTACAGTAGAACCAGCAATCTTTGAGGAGATTAAATAGAGACAGAAGGAGGATGAATTCCTTAAAAATATAGTTGATGAATTTGAAACAAATCCGAGACCGGGATATATTGTGATAAATGGGGTGCTGAAATTCCAAGATAGATTGTGTATTCCGAACATTCCCGAGTTAAAGAGAAGAGTTCTTGATGAAGGTCATAAGTCAGTATTTGCTATGTATCCGGGAAATAACAAAATGTATCGGGATTTGAAACAAAGTTATTGGTGGCCCAAAATGAAGAGAGAAATTGCAGAATATGTGTCTCAATGCCTTCAATGCCAACAAGTTAAAGTTGAACATCAGAAACCAGACGGTCTACTTCAACCTCTCCCTATTCCTGAATGGAAGTGGGAACATGTGACTATGGATTTTGTTGTTGGTCTACCTCAAACTCCTCGAGGTATGGATTCTATTTTGTACCCTGATAGCGTGGTTGGAACTGATTCCCATACAACTATGATTGCTGGCTTAGGAGTTGTTGGCTGGGGAGTTGGAGGAATTGAATCTGAGGCTACAATGCTTGGCCAGGTATTTTGAGATAATAATGTATTTTCTTTATGATTTTTCATACGCTTGTGCTAGCTGTTAGTGTTTGCACTTATTTTCCATGTGCCATGAGCTTGTTTAGAAGCTTTGATTCCCTGTGGTGATGTGTTGTATTAGATCATTTATTTTTTGGGGGGGCAAACTTCACTTCAACACCCCATGGTTAATTCTACTTGTGGTTTACCCCTCTTGATATTTAGAAAAAACCATATAACCTTCCTATGATTTGGTGCACCATCAAAATTCCATCAAAATTAGTAGCTTATGTGAAAACATGTGCTTGGAATGCGAATGGTTCTGTTAAAACACATTTCATGCCCAAAAAGATGGCAAAAATGCCCTTAGTTTGCTCAATGTTAAGGCTACTTCAGAGGTATTTTGATCCTTTCACTGAAGTGTATAGACGGTGCACTTTAATCTTCGAACCATAGAGAGTTATATGCTTATTTTAAACATCTGAGCGTAGACAACACATGGAGTAAACCATATGGGGTAAAGTAAATTTTGCCCTTTTTTCATTAACTTTTTTTAGTACTCTTTTAGGACTAAATGAAAGGCTTGGGTGTTTGTTTGAGCAGGGAGGAAATGACTTGAGATATATGACTCAGAGAGAACAGTGGGTCACACAGGTCAGCTTTATATTTTAGCTTCTTATTGCATTATTAAATACCATGGATTTTTTTATTTCCATGGCATCTAGAGAACCAAATGCATCATTAGTATAGTGTCATTGCAAAGAAAGCTCCAATCAGACTTGGATGATTGCAAAACAGAATGGATCCATTTTCGAAAATAAATATAATTGGTGATATTCTCATACAATGCTGTAATGATTTTTTACATAAAACAGAGTGCTTGTTTTAAATGCTATGGAAAACAAAATGGAAAAAATGTTGCAACTTCAAAAGAAACAATTTCATTTGGATAATGTTGTAAAACAACATATATATATACACATAATCCTCGTTTTAAATGATGCAATTGGGAGTTTCTAAACCCACCACACACCCGTCATGTTCATCTCTACACCTATATCCACAAATTTTTCTCCGTAACATACAAGATATACAATGCATATAGTGAGTGTAGAGAGAAAATAAGTGAGTGTATTTAGAAGCTCCGATGAATTCTTTTCATAAATGCAGCCTCTGCTTCTCCAAAACCTGCTGCTGCTGGTGATAGTAACTGCAATGTATGTACCCCCTCAAAAAAAAAATGGAGTAAATTCCTTGAGTTTTTATTTATTTATTTATGGGTATCTAGAATTATGGTTCAACAGTAATAATAATATACATTCACAAAAAGATCGTACACAAGCTGTATTGAGATCTATCATTTTTAAATACTGTGCTCATTAGTGACCTCCTAATTACAATGTCATTGACACTGAGCTGCTATGGCATCTAATTGTTAACAGGGAAGTTATTTCCAAAAGGATTAAGATCAAACATAAATGATTAATGTTCCTATTTTGGTTTGCTGAATTAACTTTTTAGTTTATTCATATGCATCAGCGGTTTTTTGATTAATTTGTGTTTTTATTTTTCAGGTCAGAAATTTTTTGGAGAGATGCAAAATATGGTCCAAGAATTAAAGAACTTAGTTTTTTAAGTTTTTTCATTTTTTAATATATGTAAGAACAGTTAATTTTTTTTATTTAATTCCTTTGTATATATTTTTGAATATTTAATTTTCATTTATGAAATATATGACGTTATTCTATTCAATATGTGGTTATGATTCAAAATATAGTATATAGTGTGTATTACATTATTCAAATGTGCATACAAAAATAATATTGATTATTTTTCAAATATGTAGCACCTTTTTTTTATCACAGATTTTATTAGTTATTAATCACACTTAAAAAATGTGATCTAAATGTTATTAATCACACTTAAAAGATGTGATGTAAATATTTTTAATCACACTTAAAAGGTGTGATCTAAATGTTATTAATCACACTTAAGAAGTGTAATTAAAAATGATCCTTTTTAATCACACTTCCAAAGATCACACTTAAAAGGTGTGATCAAAATATTTTTAATCACACTTAAAAGGTGTGATCAAAAGTTTTTAATCACACTTAAAAGGTGTGAACTAAAGTTTTTAATCACACTTAAAGGGTGTGATCTAAATATTTTTAACCACACTTAAAAGGGGTGATCTAAATATTTTTAATCACACTTAAAAGGTGTGATCTAAATGTTTTTAACCACACTTAAAAAGTGTGATCTAAATATTATTAATCACACTTAAAAGGTGTGATGAAAGCATTTTTTAATGACACTTAAAAAGTGTGATTAAAAATGACCATTTTTAATCACACTCCTAAAGACCACACTTTAATAAAATTTAAAAGGTGTGATTAAAAAACATACATCACACCAAAAAAGTGTGATCTTTATCTATATTTGTAGTAGCGGTGCATTTCAATCCAGTAATTACATAGGGGTTATGTGGTGATTTCCGAATGTCAGGAGGTAATCCACACGCCCAAACTACAGAGGGTAAAGTGAAGTTTGCCCTAGGTTGTTTTTAGATAGTTTATATCAATACAATAAAGAATCCAAAACTCCTTCAATTGATGATGTGTTTGGTTTATGATTTTGGTTATACATTTTGAACGGGAAAACAAAAAGGTGTGTCAAATTAAGTAAAATATAATTATATTTTATTCACATTTTACTTATTTTTTTCCTTTCTCATTCCAAATTCCAACCCAAATCCATGAATCAACCATAACATAAAGTTGGGTGAATATTTTTCATACTAAATATTTTTTTATTTCAATTTTTAGAATTTACTTTGTAGAAAATTCTACTTTTTTGTTTTTCATATATATATATTTTTTTATTTTTACTGAATTTTTTTAATATTTTAAGAGATTTTTTAATTTTTAGACACACCTAACATAAATACACTTAAAAAATATAATATTTGTGAAAAAAAACTTTAAAAAATTCATTAAATACCAAAAATATAAAAAAATACAAAAAATCAGTATATTTTTCATATTTTTGTGTATTTATTAATTTTTAAAAATATTTTTCACAAATATTTTACTCTTTAGATACATTTAAGTAAGGTATATTTAAAAAAGTAAAAAAATTGCTTAAAATTTTAAAAATATTCACTAAAACAAAAAACAAAAAACACAAAAAAATCAATTTTCAAAATACTGAATTTAAAAAACTGAAACCAAACACTAAAACTTTTTAAAATTGTTTACTACAAACTCTTATCACACACGTCTCTCTACATAATAATGATTGATATTTATTTTAGTTTCTATCTCAAAAATTAGTTATAGAGTCAAAGAAAATGTGTAGGTCTAAAAATTTTAAGGTAAAAATTTTATATTAGAATTTGTTCAAATGTAATTATCTTAATATTTACAAAAAAATGTATTGATTGATAAAAAACACCATAAACATTAAGATTATTATTATTATTATTATAATATTGAGTTATTAAAATATGAGACATTATAGCTTAAATCAAGAATTGTTGAAATTTTTTTTTTGACTCAAACTAGATTTTTTAAGCGAATTTTTAATATTTAATCTAATATTAAAACTCTCAAACTAGCTCATATCGGTCATGAACCAATAAAGATAATTTTTAATGATTAGATAAAGGTCACATTAGTATAAATATTGAATCGAGTAGCTTTTAAGTCACTTCTAATATAGTCCAACATCAAAAGTCAATTCTAATTCATTTTTACGTAAGAGTTGGGGTGAAGCACCAATAAATTCCAAATAGTGATCTTATGAACTGTTTAATCTTCTTATTTTTTGTTATTTTTATGAGGTCTCATTCTAGTGTGAATTATATAAAAGGCCAAGCGTAAATGAGTTTTCTCATAATGTTGAAATACTCAACGTAACACTTCAAAAAAAATTCTTAATGTACTTTTTCTAAACGTAACACTCCTTATAAAAGTAATATTCCAATATAACACACTAAAAAACTCCTTAGTACACTTTTTCTCAAACATAACAATGTAATATTCAAAAAAATAAATAAATTCTTAAATGTACTTTTCCCAAACGTAATATTCCAATCAATGTAATACACAAAAATTTTTTAGTATACTGCTCTCAAACGTAACACTCCAAAACGTAACACTTCAATGTAACATACTAAAAAACTCATTAGTGTAATTTTTTGAAACGTAGCAATGTAGCATTTCAAAAAAATTTCTTAATGTATTTTTTTCCAAAGATAACATTCCAATCAATGTAACATACAAAAACTCTTTAGTGTACTTTTCTCAAACATAACACTCCAATATATAACACTTCAATGTAACATACTAAAAAACTGTTTAGTATATTTTTCTCAAACGGAACAATGTAACATTTCAAAAAAATTCCTTTCTGTATTTTTCCCAAATATAACATTCCAATCAATTTAACACAAAAACTTCTGAGTATATTTTTTTCAAATGTTACACTCTAATATATACTCCAATGCAACACAAAAAAATTACACTAACAGAAATGTAGATTTCTATACTCGATAACTAATACTTCAGCCATCAATCTCTCCAAGAAGATTCTTCCTCATCTCACATTTCCATTCGCATCTCAAAGACGAATCATAAAATTAGAAAAACGGATCACAAATGGACATTCATTTAAACTCAAATGGTATCAAATCAAATAAATACAATTTTTCAAAACAAAAATGATTGATTGGTTCACAAGAAAACTCTTACAACTAAATGGATCAATATTCTCCCATATGGGATTTACAGGTAAATTTTCCTAAGAGTTATGACATACTACAATTTACAATTCTGAGTACACAAATTTTTAGGTTTTACAAAATAATAAAAAATTAGTATATTAAAAAATATAATTTACTACTATCGTATGGTAAATTAAAATTACAAAACTTATAAAACAAAATGTATTTGTATTTTATCGTAAATGTAATTTTTGAAATTTCTTCTTTAACGTCTACCAATTAAATTATGTCATGTAATTCTTTATTAAGAACTTACAACACATAATTAATGACATCAGAATAAAAATATTCTCTCATGTGTAATTCTGATAAAAATGAATAAAATCTAATTGATTATAAACTATTTTTAGTATAATTTAAATAAATTTTATATTATTATTTAATTTTAAAACTAATTTTTAATTATTTATTTATACCCATGCATAGCATGCCACTACAACATTTTCTTAGTTTAGTGACATTTGAAAGTGTCACAAAACTATTGGTTTAATGACATTTTTTAGTCTTGTGACATTTTGAACAAGTGCTATTTATATCCGTGCCACGGTAAATACTTGCAAGTGTCACTACACCATCATGGCTAAAAACTTTCAATAACATTTTGATGTCATGGTAGATATTATTTGTGGCACTATCAAGCGCCATTAAAAAAAAAAGTTAGTGACACTTATAAGTGTCATTACACCATCATTCGTGACGATAAATCGTTGTAGAACAATTTGATCCACTCTTGCGGAGACTCGAACCGCCAACCTCCTGCACCATAACCTTATACACCACACTCTTCCCACTACACCTCTATAGCACCACATGATTATATATGCAACATATATTATTTATATAGTACATACATCTATATTAATATAAAAGTATATGTATAAATATAATTATTTTATTGAACATAATTTATGTAAAATAAACTATTTACTAGCAAAATAAAAAAAGACCACTTTTGGTGACTAATTGTATACTTTTGGTGACTAATTCTATACTTTTGGCTACTAATTATTTTTTAGTTGCTAAAAAACTTAACTTTTGCCGACCAAAATCGGATTTGGTCGCCGAAGATGCATTTTCAGCTACCAAAATCTTGGTCGCCAAAAAATTTAATTCCCGCCTTAGAATTTTAGTTCTCCCGCGCAAAAAATGACCACTTTTGGCGACTAAACTTATTTTTTAGTTGCAAATTGTAGACTTTTGGCTACTAAAATTTTTTCAGTCACCAAAAAGCTTTACTTTTGGCTACTAAAATTTTTTGTCGGTAAAACCCATATAATCAGCGACCAAAATTATTTTTAGTCGCCAATTGTAGACTTTTGGCTACTAAATTTTTTTAGTCGCCAAAAAGCTTTACTTTGGGCTACTAAAAATTTTTTAGTCACTAAAACCCATATAATCAGCGACCAAACTTAGTTTTAGCAACCAATTGTAAACTTTTGGCGACTAAAATTGTTTAGTCGCCAAAAAGCTTTCATTTTGGCTACTAATGTTGTTTTGGTCGTTGAAAACTATACTTTCAGCGACCAAATTTTTTTTGGTTAGGAAATTTAGTCGCCGAATGTGCTTTTTCCTGTAGTATATATTGAGTTTAATTTATTTATTTTTAATAATTTACTGTATTTTAAAAATTTAGAAAATATATTGGCATTTTTTGTTTTTTCAAACATGCCATTATAAGCTTGGAAAGTTTTTAGCTTAGTGGCATTTTTCAAAATGCTATAAACTATTTGTTTATGACACTTTTCACCTAAGTGGCATAAAAAGTAATTTGTACCTACCTAATGTCCTGACATTTTTAAAAAAATGCCATTGCTACTAAAGTTTAATGGCATTTGTCGGTAAATGTCACAAATA